CTTGTTTCCATGTTCTGGCTTATGAGTCATGCCTGACTCCTCTGAGAGTTCACCAGATTCCCATCCCAGAAAACCAACAGGCCCATGGAGGGCACAGGTAGAAGGATTCAGGAATTTAACTACTTTAGTGAGGTTTTTTTTTTTAACTCTTTTTAATTTTTTCCCTTTATTAAGATATTAATATGTGTCCTTATCCTCCCATCCACCCCCCATTTATGCCCTCACCCACTGCTGGTGTCTGTGTCCATTGGTTAGGCTTATATGCATGTGTACAAGTCCTTTGGTTGATCTCCCTCCCTAATCCCTATCCTTTCCTCTGAGGTTTGACGATCTGATGGATGCTTCTCTGTCTCTGGATCTGTTTTTGTTCATGAATTCATGTTGTTCATTATAATCCACAAATGAGTGAGATCATGTGATATTTATCTTTCTCTGACTTGCTTATTTCTTTTAGTATAATGCTCTCAAGTTCCATCCATGTTGTTGCAAATGGTAAGAATTCCTTCTTTTTAACACAGCATAGCATTCCATTGTGTAAATGTACAATACAAGTTTTTTAATCCATTCATCTGTTGATGGGCACTTAGACTGTTTCCAAATCTTAACTATGGTAAATTGTGCTGCTATGCACATTTGGGTGTATATGTCCTTTCTGATTGGTGTTTCTAGTTTCTTAGGATATATTCCTAGAAGTGGAATCACTGGGTCAAATGGGAATTCCATTTTTAGTTTTTTTTTAGGAAACTCCATACTGTTCTCCACAGTGGCTGCACCAGTCTGCATTTTTAGTTCTGCTTTAAATAAACTCAGAGCGATCAGTTACTGAATCTTTTGGTTCAAGTTAAGTCAGGACAATGCCAGATGTTGGACAAGAGCAGACAGTCTAGGGAGCAAAGCATGGCCGCCAAAGGTAGTCCAGGTCATGCACTCTGTATCTGATTCATTGCAAGAGAATAGATGTCAGCAACTCTGACCATTGCCAACCCAGCTCTGAACAGCTCACAGGTGCATTACTCATTCAGTTCTCTGCTTTACTGTACTCTGAGCACATCCTGTAAAAATACATATATCAAAAGCCTTAATATTTCCATTGGACTTGTGAATGACTAAAAATGTCATTGCATTTATTTTAAATTGGCTTCTAAATCACAGATGTATATTGGGATTTTTCATGTTGCTTTCTGGGAGGCATCATAAGTTTTCATTTAATACTATATTACATATCATACTCTGGCAATAGTAAGTCTTATATTTCAATTTTAATAATGAAATAATCATACTGTTTCATAACTTTGAGGAAAAGTACTGCATGTATTTCTGCAAAGCTGAGTAATTTCATGGGTTTCCAAACTGCAAGCAATTTAGTAGCCTCTCTTTGGTAATTATAGAAATTGATATCTCTCTCCTCATCTCCCACAAAACCCAGCAATGATCTGTCCAGCTGATTCAGAGACTGACTTAGAGGTCGGCGCATTCATCATCGTTGACAATAAGCTGTGAGATTAGGATAATGATTTAAGACTAGTATATGTTTGGGAATGGGAGAAAGATGTTTAAAACTAATTTATAGGAATATAATCTACTGGTCATTTTAATGTTTCATCAAAAATATTTTAGAGGATGTTTCATTACTAATTGGTCCCATTAAGGTGACAAAATGTACTGTTCTTGCTTTACTGAGAAGAGAAGGAAGTCATGCATCTCCTGTTAGGTTCAGAGTTTTAGCATAACCTGAAAGTTTATAAATTACCAAAGAATTAACATATCTTAAAGCTATTAAAAATTAGCATACTATGGGTTTAGTTGATGTTACAAGTCATATAACATCATCCCTATCAGTATGTTGTACATTTTTTTACCATATAATGAAAGGAACTATAGCTATCCTGGCTACCCTTTTCAATATGTCATAATATTCAACTGCAACAATTAATTTACATTTAACTCCTTCATGAACCACTGGGATACTAAACAGCTAATAATTCTGTATTATATAAACAACATATAATATGTACCTTTTTAAAACTATGTGTATAAAATGAATTTTTAAAATTCTGCTTATGTAAAGATTTCCTGCTTTGTGTTTTAAATACTGAGGTACATCTAAAACAAAATCACTAGTAGTGCCAAATGCAACTGTAGTGAAATGAGTCTGTTTAATTCTAGAGTTGTTTTCATACCTTTTTTTAAAATTTTTATGTCATTATTTTATTTAATACCCTGCCTTGTCTAATTATCAATATACTAAATAGGGTAACTTTTCCTTTGTTTTATATGCTAAATCTATATTACAGATGCCAATTAAAAATATATAAATGAACACATTATATGGATTTTATTTCTTTTTAAAAAAAATATATTTTATTGATTTTTTACAGAGAGGCAGGGAGAGAGATAGAGAGCTAGAAATGTCAATGAGAGAGAAACATCGACCAGCTGCCTCTTGCACACCCCCTACTGGGATGTGCCCGCAACCAACGTACATGCCCTTGCCCGGAATTGAACCTGGGACCTTTCAGTCCGCAGACCGATGCTCTACCACTGAGCCAAACCAGCTTCGGCTGGATTTTATTTCTAATCATTGATACATCTACCATTATTTGTAACATTTATACCAAAATATTTCAGAGCATTTTCTTAGTACTAATGAATATAGAGCTAGTATGCATACTAAAAATAAAACTACAAAAATAATTTAACAATATAAATTTTAATTTGATATTAAACCAGTTAAAATATATATATTGATATTGATTAAAATAATGTTCTTTGGATTCACAATCTTTTTACGCACATCTCCAATATCCATAAGTCCCTCTATGCTATTGGCCCTGTGCAGGCTGAGTCCTTCTTTTCAGAGCTACTGTGGAAAATACAAACAGCGCACACAGAGCTCCCAGCACTGGTTAGGAAGGTCAGTGTCAATAAAAAACTCCATGCACTTAAGGCAGATTTGTGAGAAGCAAGTTCTTATAATGAGGACAGTTGTACATACATCCAAGCATTAGTTTTTAGTTTTTTACACGAGAGAAAGTGTGTAAGAGACACACTTTCTGAGAACACTCCATTGGAGCACTTTTGAGAGACAGGAAAGAAAAAACTGAAATTAAGAGGAAATGAACATAAAATTTAGGTCACTGCTAAATGAATATTTTCCCTATGAGTTTTCCTTTACCGATTGCTTTTATACGCACTTCACATCTAAGTGTTTGGACTAAATGCACCTAAAATCTTACTTTTCCATTGATGCTCCATTAGCAGAAGTGAACTCCACTGCATCAGGTCCAAGCTATTTTTGAAAGGCCTTGAGATTTCTGTACCCCCTCCCCCAACAAATCACTGATTTTATGCTTTAGTCAGTCTCCGCAGTGCGTTCTTGACTCCTGCCTCCTCAGAAGTCTAAAGCTCTGCAGCAGGGGAAGCTGGTGTCTCAGGCACTTGCAGCTCTACTTAAAGACTTCTTGTTCTCCGTTCACCCTGAATACATTTGCCTTCGAGGACTTAACAGAGCCCCTCGGACTGAACTTGGCTCCCTGTTCACACCATCTGTATGTCATCCTCATACTCCCTCATCAATGCCAATCCTATGTTGTATAAGGGGAGACAAACGAGGGAAATCATAGTGGCAATTTTTTTTTACTGACCTAGGAACCAGATACTATGGATCTCTCTCTCTTTTTTGCCTTGTAATCTCCTGGAGTCTTGGTTTTCTTCATTATTTTCATTAAATGTTTCTAAGAATGAATATGGAGATCCTCCTGTTTTGTATATCTTGGCATACCCCAAATTACTAAAATCTGTGCTCAATAAGCATCTCTATTATCTCTTCTCTTTCCTTCAGTTTCACCGTCTTTCTATCCCTCTATTACCCGCCACCCCAAACAAATAAGCATGTTAGTTATATCTGAACAAAGGAAGAGCCTTTCTCAGACCCTAGAGCTACAATCTTTTCTCCTCTTCATCTTCACAGCCAAACTGTGTGAAAAATGTAGTTCCCACATTTCATATCCATTTCTTCACATGTAAAGCTCTCCAAGCCTCAGTAATCCAGGACCGTCCAGTTTTAGCATGAAAATCCCATGGCCCAGGAAAGCCCTCAGTCCTAGAAAACCTGGGACAGTTGTTCGCTTTGCCCTAGATCCCTCCTCCTCCTGTAATCTCTGCCACAATCACAACCACTTCAAATTCTGAGAGTTAAACTTTTCTCTTTAATCCACTCAATCTTTTTTTATTTTCAAAATCTCCTGGTTCAGATTCTCATCTGCCCCTAGGCTATTGTACTAGCCTCCACAATGAGACTGATTCCCTCACCCTCCTATCGATCTTTCTAAAAGGCACATCTGATTCTGTTACCCTGCAGAGCAGTATAAAACTTCAGTCAGCTACTCTCGATCCTGTATTGGTTCATCTGAATGCCCTTGCCTGACTTTTTTCTTCTTCTTCCTTAAGTTCTTTTCAAACGTATTATTACTCCCACAATAGACACTTCATGACTTTGTACATGTGCTGCTCTTTCCTGCAATCCACGCTTCTCGAAATTACCTGATATAGTCAAATCTTACCCGCCAATCTCAGCTCAGGAAAGCACAGCTACTCCTGGAAGCCATCCACACTCTTCCAAGCAGATGAGGGTCCTCCTACTTGCTTTTCTGCTGTACCTTGTATATTCTTTTATTGTAACACGTACCTCATAATCTCTTTTTCTCTCTTCCCTATTTAATTACACTCAAGGAGAGGCACTCTATGTTTCCCTTTCATGTGGGCTGCACCAGCAGCATTTCTATTTCAATAAATAATTGAGATAATGTTTAATGAAGTAATGAGATTATTTTTATAGGTCTTACATTTCGGAGGCAGGGTAGATAAGAGTACATGGACAGGATCTTATAAATAGAAGCTTACTACCTGCCCCTGATCAATTAATTTGTAAGTTGTGTTCATTAGCGCAAAGAGTGACCGTGGGTTTGTTAAAACCTGGGAAAAACTGACAATTTTCTTACCGTCCTTGCATCCCATATAGACAGGGACTTGTCTGCAGAAGCTGTGAGGAGAGTGTTGGAGCAAGGAAAGAACTCAATGCTGTTGACGGAGTCCGTATGTCCATACAAAGTGCATCTGCATCTTTCACTGGAGAGAGATGAAGAGTTAAAATTGGAGTTAGCACCTATGTGTTCTTTATGCTGCCTATGTGCATAGAACAATGCTGATAAAATAGTTTAATTATCTAAGATGTAAAGTAGTTTAAATGGCAAAATGTACAAGAACAATGTTTTTTAAAATTCTAAAACTACCTTACATCCTAAGCACTTTATAAATTAGTAGCATGGAAATGAATAAATTTAAATTATCTTTCATTTAAAAAGCCACTTGCTAAAGCCATCTTTACAGTATCTAATTTATTCCTTATTGTGAATGACTACATAGAAACTGTTCCCACATCATAAATGAATATGCTGAGAGAAAAAAAAAAAACCAACAACAGCTCACTAACATGTTAAGACCAGATAAACTGCTTTAAGTCTTTCTGTTTCTTTCCCCCTCAGCTGTAATGTGCATTAGAATCGCCTGAGACACTTTTAGCCCATTCTTAGCCTCGAGGCCACATATTCTATTCCAGTGGTTCTGAGATGGAGCGTGAGTATTAGTGTGCATTAGCCTCCCCTCTTGGTGATTATAATTTGCCTTCAGGGATGAGAATCTAAACCAATGGTTTTCAAAGGGTTTTACACAGGCCGACAGCATCGGCGCTTCTTGGGAAGATATCAAAATGCAAATTCTCCAGTGGGATAGAGGCCCAGAGACCTGTTTTAAGAAGCTCTCTAGGTAATTCTGATTCGGGCTACCATTTGAGGACCACGGATCTAAACTGTTAGAAATGGCTGAAAAGAAAAGACAACTCCAGTTTTGCCTTTCCCCCCCATTTTATGAAAGGGCTGTTCTCACTGAAGCAGGGTACAGGAATATCACTCTTCATTTGTAAGGTTTGGTTGCTTTTAATTAACTTTATTTATAAACCTATTTTAAAAATTGACGAAGAGTGGATGTAAGGTAACTAATAGTACTGTGAACAGATGAGTCAATATAAGTACATTTTTAATATGATGACCCATTAGTTAAGCTCTGATCCGTATAATACTTTTTAAAAAATTCTTTATTGTTTAAAGTATTACATGTAGTATTACATATATCTCCTTTCCCCCCCCCCATTGGGCTCTCCCAGGCAACCCCCATTCCCCAGCACATGCTGAATATTTATAGTAATCCTATTCTTGTCAAGTATGTTTTTCATACATGCATGGTCAAATTACATACATGTTAGCAGAGAGAAAGAGAATCTTTAATATTTAGAATAGCTATTCTTTTTTTTTAAGTAATTAATTTATTTATTTATTTTAAATTTATTTATTTATTTATTTTTTACATATTTTAATGATTTTTTTTGCCCCCCTCCCTCCCTCCCTCCCCCATATCCTCTCCCTCCCCATAGTTTTATGTCCATTGGTTGTACTTATATGCATGTATACAAGTCTATTGACAGTTATGTCTTCTGCTTTCTACAGGCATGAAATATATAGCTGCTGGCAGGTGTTTTATATTTAATTAAAAGGAAATAAAAAGAAAACATAAAGATAGACAAAATGTCATAAAAATGTAACAAAAACAAGCAATACATATAATATAAAAGCAATACAGATTATTATTAATAAAAAGAAAGATATATGTGAACAGCATCAGAAAAATATTAAAGTATGGTTCATATTTCCAACCTCCTATGAGCAATTACTGAAACAAAAGTTCCATCTGTGACAAAATTAAGCAGTACACTTTGGAAGTGGTTGATTAATGGCAACTTATTAAAAGGCTATATTTATTAAAGAGACTAAAACTAAATAGGATTTTTATTATTTTTAATTGGAGCATTTCAACATATAATTATATTCTTATTTTTTTTACATAAAGAATTAGTCATTAAACTAAGTATTCTATTTGCAAACTCTGGTAATATTTTTAAGGCAAATGCAACAGTATTATGAGTATATTTATGTCATCACAATAAAGACCTCAGAAATACAAATACACAGGAAATACATAATATAAGTAATGCCTGTCCTTACATGTCATATACACTACTGAGAAGGGGGGAAAAATGGTGCACCTTCACAATTTATATTCAGGGTTTGTCTGTTATCATTAAAACCTAATTAAATTATTTGGGAGTGTACCTTCATTTACGGTGGTGAGGTGGAGGGAGACATTTCTCGGTCATACATTAAAGTTCACATGGTTTCCCAAACGAAAGGGGAAGGATGGGTCTTTTTATAGCTTAAGGGAAGGAGGACTGCTCCAGAGTCACTGGCTAAAGGTGCGGGCCTTCCAGCAGAGGAGTTGCAAGAGCAGGCTTGCGAGAGATTAATTAGCTGCCAGAGAAGGAAGTCCTACTCAGAATTCCTCTGCAAGGTGAAAATGGACTAAAGTGATGGAGCATGACAGCACCGTAAGAAATGGAAGTGATTTGTACATTTCCATCAAAAACATAAACACTGAAGCTTGATGCAATTTTCTCTCTGTTGCCCTGTCCGCTGGCTTCCTATCATTTTCGCAGGCAGAAGTTACTTCCCAAGCAATAGCTCATTCTTCACTCACCTCCTGCCTTTTCTTTATTTCCCTCTGTCTCCTTCTATTTTCTCTCCCTGCCCCCTGGATTTAATTTATTATTCTAGTAACCGACGGGTGGATATTTTTCTGAACTTTCCACTCGCTGTAAAACAAAGCTATCTGTTCTTCTAGAGCAGTTACATTTTCATTTAAAATGCACTTCCCGTACATGTGTTAACTCATAAGGCTACACCACTTCTCCTTCGTGAGGCATCCCGTTTTAAAAGTTTGATTTTATGTTTTGGTGCGTTTGTCTTAACACTGTAATATTGAACATGAAACCGTACCTTTCAATAAAATGTGGTTAATGAAATTATGGAACATTTACAAAAGGCAGCAGCAATATATGTGTAAGTAAATATGAAGAAAAGGGCCCAAAATATCTATCCTTGCTTAAAAACATTAACTGGAATTATTATCTTATTAACTTTAGTAAGGCCTGGATTTTACATAGTATTTATAAATTGAGCCAACATACAATGATGAAGTATTTCATGGGGTTTATCTTTATGAGCTACCTAAAATAATCATAAGTGAAACCTATTTACATATGGGCCTAGCCAGTGCCCATGGACAACAGGGGGAGGGGGACATATCTAGGGAGGGGATTGTGATGGGAATGGGGGAATAAGGACAATTATGTGAGACTATAATCAATCAATCAATCAATCAATCAATAAATAAATAAATAAATAAATAAATAAATAAAAATAAATCCTTATATTGTAATTCATAACTTTCAAGTTCAGTGAGGGATTCCTCCCATCTCTAGGTTGTTTGTTAAGTTTATATATGCACTAGTTTTAAAACCCACCAGACTTTTTATCTCAGCAAGGCAAACTCTTCAGGTGACATGTAAATTTTGACTTCAGAAGTTAGTAACAGGTTAATAATGAGAAAGTTTGTTTGCTTTGTATTACCACAAATAATATAAAAACCTTCACTAGGCAATAGTTTTTTGCTTTTTTTTTTTTTTTTTTTCTGTTACTATGGAATTCAGTTGAACAGTTAGTGAAGGGAGTGATATTTACATAAAATCTACCAGGTGGCTGCCACAAACTCTACCTTCCAGTTCACTACAATCTATCGTGAAATAACAATCGGTGATGTGTTCTGAGTACCTCATGGAGGAAAGATCATGAAAAGGTCACAGTTCCTGGACAAGGAAAGCTCTTGTCCAAAACCCTAAACCACAACATACAGTCTGAGCTTTCCTTCGAAATGGCAATAACACTTCACAAATGTAAAGGGCATGTTCCTGGTGAACTCAGATACCTGACATGCAGCCAGGAGGCTGGGAATAAAAGCAAAATGTGAATTCATAAAATGATGGTAATGGAGCTGAGCACTCAGGGTACCAAGTCCCCACTCCACCTTGGTGAACCGTCAGCTGGATTGTTTTTGCTCAGGGTGCGGGTGCAGGGACGGGTTAAGAGGCTGCCCCCTGTGCACGTTAACAGTGAGCACATGTGGATGCTTAGCAGCAAATGGCAGTAAACTGGGAAATGAAAAAATAAAATAAAAAGACCAAATATTGGAATGGCAACCTAAGGGAAATTAGTAAAGGCAAAAGAACATAACTCTTTTCACTACACGGTTCCTACATTTGACATGAAGCATCTATTGAGTGCTTACTGTTCTCATTCACATATATTAGCACCCTGAAGTGCACCTGGCCCTCATTACTTGCAGATTCCCTGTTTGTGAGTCGCTCACTTGTTAACCGTCATTCGTAACCCCCAAATCGATGCTTCTGCAGACATTCCCAGATGTGGCCATGCAGAGAATGGCAAAAAGTTAGTCCCATGATGTGCATGTTCCCTGCTGAGGTCAAACTAGGCAAAGTTTCCACCTTCTTATTTCAAGTCTCATGCTATATATATTTAAGGGGTCCCTTGTGCCATTTTAGTGCCACTGTTTTCACATTTTTGTGCTTTTCATAGTAATTTGCAATTCAAAATGGCCTTCAAGTGTAGTGTTATCCAGAGTTCTGAAGAGCAACAAGCCCTTGATGTGACTTATGGAGGAAATATGTGTGTTAAATAAGCTTCGTTCATGCATGAGCTACATAGCACTGTTGATTATGAGTTCAAGGTTGATGTATCAATAATATATACTAAACAAGGTGCCTTTAAACAGAAACACACACAAAACAAGTTTACATATTGATTGCTTGATGAACCAGCTTACAGAAAACTAACCCTGTGTTTCTCTTAGGAACAAGAATTTCATATTCACCAATTCAATGTTTGCTGTGACTTTATAGAATACTAGAGGACTGGTGCATGAAATTCATGCATGGGGTGGAGGGTTCTCTCAGTCCAGCCTGCATCCTCTCCAATCAGGAACATCCTTCTCACAATCTAGGACTGCTGGCTCCTAACCGCTCATCTGCCTGCCTGCCTGATTGTCCCTAACCACTCTGCCTGCCTGCCTGATTGCCCCTAATCCCTCTGTCTGCCTGCCTGATC